AATAAATTAAAACATAAATTGGTCATGAACACCAACAGTAAACCTTCCACTTAGAATACCCATTGTAAATAAATTAATTAAATGGTGGACACATCTTTGGCTACTCTCTTTGTAAGTAAATTAATTTTTATATTAGTTTGGTCACTTTAATATTAACCTGAGCAGGCTGCTAAAATGTAGATTAGTATTAGGATATACATGAATTAAAGTATCAAGATAGCAAAGCAGTGTTAGTTCTGTATAGAACCAATCTAAAAAAATACTAGCCATTGCAATAATATGGGCCATAGGTTTATATACGCCCTGTGCGAATCTCGGATGTGCGTTGCTTTTATGGCGTTGCGCCCGACTGGCGCAACTGGATAGCGCATGTGACTTCTAAGGGTTATATCAACTCATCGACATCACAAGGTTGCGGGTTCAATCCCCGCGTCGGGTTTTATCTTTTGGCTGCTGCTTAAGCTGTGGGTTATTTTTTTGTTAGGGGTTGTTTTCTTGTATATCTTCTGATATAAAAATGTTCAGATCAGTTCTTAGCAGTTGGATTTTTTTGATCGAAGGGTATGTGCGGCGGGTGACAATGCCTGCGCGCACTGGAATACAACGCAGACTAATAATTCCACCATCTTCTCTTTTGCTTATCTTGTCCAGAATCTATAGCAGATGGGTGCAATACCACTATAGTCCTTACTAGACAGCATTATGAAAAAATGAATTTTTCCAATAAATCACCGTTTTTTGGATGCGTTATTCGGCTGACGAGTTTTGCAGCAGACCAAACGGAATGCAATTTCAGGCATACGTCACGTGACAAGCAACGGCTTTAATGAAAAAGGGTCATAGCAATCTTTTCTTATTTGTAATACGCTCGTCTTTATTTTTATAGAGGAAATGGCAAAGAGCGCAATCGACTGTCATTTTTTCCTTACAGGCTCGTGTCGAAACGGCGACAGCTGTCCATTTCGACACAGCGAAGGCGCACGAACAACGCAAGAGGAGTGTGAGGAATTCAGTGCTTTGGGGCAGTGTTCGAGCCATGACTGCGGCAAACGGCATTCGGAAACAAAGCGAACGAAGCCGCCGAGCGAAGTGCAATGCCGGAACGAGGAAAGCGGGACGTGCACGCGAGTCGGGTGTATATTCAAGCACACGGGGCAGCGCGCACAGCTGAATGCACGGGCAAAGGCGTTTGTGCCGCGGGGAGCACAAGGATCGCGTATGGAGTGGACGCCAGAGAGTTCTATTTCGAATGTGCAGTCTGGGTCGTTTGGCAACAAAGAATGGACGCCGAGTGCGCATACAGAATCTAATCAACCGGCGTTTGGCAATATGGAGTGGGTGCCAAATGCAGCACCGCAGTCTCAGTCGTTTGGCAACAAAGAGTTTTCGCAGGCAGCAAATGCAAAGCCAGCGATGACTCAGGCATTTGGTAATAAGGAGTGGACGCCGGCAGCTGTTCCGAAACCAACGATGACCCAGGCATTCGGTAACAAAGAGTGGACACCAGTGGCTGCTACAGAGACAGCGCCAAAGCCAAAGTTCGGTAACAAAGAGTGGACTCCGGCAGCTGCTGCAAAGCCAGCGCCAAAATCTGCCTTTGGTAACAAAGAGTGGACACCAGCGGCTGCTACAGAGACAGCGCCAAAGCCAAAGTTTGGTAATAAGGAATGGACGCCGGCAGCTGCTACAAAGCCTGTAACGACCCAGTCGTTTGGTAACAAAGAATGGACACCAGCGGCTGCTGTAAAACC